GCCCACGCTATTGCCGGAAGCACATTGCTCGGCCATTGCAGCACCCGAAAGGCGGGGTGAGGCTGGCTTTCGGGAGTTTTGCCTGCATTTTAGAAGCGGTGCTGGGTACAAAGTGAATGGCATTCGTCCTGTTTAAATTATCAGGGGCAAGCCACATTTCTGTTACTTTATTGTTTTATCAACTGTATCCTGATCAGTTTTGTTTTGAAAATGAGCTTTTTGTTTGACTAGCCTTTTAAAAAAAATCGTAGTAAAGACACGTGCACGCGCACCAAATTGCGCGTCTTTCGTGCTCGCGTTCACGCCCTTTCGCCTAATACTGGGGCTAGCAAATGGGTGCGTGATGCTTGAAGGTTACGGTACACAGTAAATAAAATCGAGTAGGGGCTTTCGTAATCATGCATGTCAACACCCACATTCTCGTTTTGTTTGTTGTTTAGTCGTGTCCGACTCTTCGTGACCCCATGAACCATATTGTGCCAGGCCTTCCTGTCCTTCACTGCCTCCCTGAGTTTGCTCAGTTTCATGCTCAACATTCTCGTTTAACAGCTGGCAGATTTCATTTTAACATGGCAATTGTGATAATTACAGCTTCTATTTTAAAAAAAGACTCGATTTTTAAAAATCATGTTACTAGGTAATAGATGGTGGATAATTTGGTTGATTGCTCAAACCTACAATGTGCCTAGTCCAAAGCCAGTTTTTGAAATTAGTAAATGCTGCTGAAGGTGCTTGAGTTGCTGCTGAGTGCAGCACAGTTCATACGTAAGTTTTAGAAAGAATTGTACTCTTAAACAAAGTGTTTAGTGTATAGTGAAATTCACAGAATGTTGTTGGAACTCCAGATGATGCCTTGGATTTATAATCTTGTGTTTTCTCACGGATTCTTCCTTCCCAGAAAAAATACCTCTTAAGAGGAAGATAGAATGCCTGTTGATCTCTGAACACTAGGCGGAGCCCTTTGCATGGAAGCAACTCAAGCCAGTTGCAGCAAATTGACAAGGACTTTGTTAGCTTTAAGTTATCTATTTTTATTTTATTTATTTTTCAAATTTATATGTGCCACCCATCTCACTGTACAAGTGACTCTAGGTGGTGTTACAAGTAAAAAATGATCCAATCTTAGAAAAAATATACAAGTTAAAAACTACAAAAGGTTAAAATTAAAAGTTAAAACTACGGTACAAACTAAAAAGGTGGAGAAAGCATTTGCCAATTGTCAAGGCAGTGATCAGGTACCCAGGCAATTGGTTCTTTTAGTTCTTTTAGATCCAGAGACAATGAACACGCCAGTCAGTAAGATTTTAAGCTTTATTGTTAACTCTAGCAAACAGTTTTAAACAGGAATATAAGAATTAGC